TATGTACCAAGTCATCACTTTTTTTTTTTTTTTTTTTTTGAAAGCTGTTTGCAGAAATAATAGATGGGTTTGCAAGATCCAGCCACAAAAATTAGTGAGGAGCATCCCTGCTCCAGGAGAATCACATTGCTGGACCGAGGGGCAATGGCACTGGATTCTGGGGGGACACGAGCTGCCCAGCTCCCCCCATCCCATGCACTTTGCTGCCCCCAAACCCATCCCAGGGCAGGGACTGGCAAGCCCAGATGTTCCAGCTGTTCCTGCCCCAGGTCTTTAGCTGCCCTGAACCCCAAGCCCAAAAAGCATCAGTGGCTGCTGGCTCTGGGGTCCTCCCTGTCCCTCAAAGGTGTCCTGGGCTCCTCCTCTGCCTCTGCTAATTCTACGTGTCCCCCTCACCTCCTCCCCGAGTGGCTGTCTGTCCTTCTGCCCTGTCTGACCTCTCCTAGGAACCCTGTGAACCTTTCAGCAGGTAATTAAATACTGTGTAACGCGAGCGAGGGGAGCTCCCTCCCACTGCCAAAGCCTTCCTCCCCTGCAGCCTCCTCGGTGACAGCATCCTCCAAGGCTCTGACCCATGCACAGCTTTTAGGGGAGAAAAAAAAATAAAAAAAAAAGGCAAATCATTCCTGCAGGTGGCTCAGCACTGTGAGCAGCCATGGATGGGGCATGGGTCCCTGGGAGGCATCTGGCACAGCCTCAGCCCCCGGGAGATGCCTGTGGCTGGGTGCCCTGCAGTCACCCCGTGTTATTGAGAGCAGCACCCAACAGATGGCAGTCACCAATCTGCCATTAATTTCCCTTATTATCCTCGTCCCCACCATTGCGTGCCCCTTCTGGGCTCAGGCTGGATGCCCTTTATTTTTCAGGATAAATTCCCCACCCTCTCTGCACCCCACTTTTAGCAGACCGGGTCTGCAGCATCCCTTGCAACGCTGGTGAGGACGGCCACCTACTGCCCAGGTGTGGGGCACAAACATGCCCCAGAACACACCGTCTGGCACCAAAACTGCAGCCAAACACACCGGATCCATCAGCAGCCCCATCCCAAGGGGGGTGCAGGCAGTGCCAGGGGTGGGCAGGGATGCTACAACATCCCTCTACACCCATGTGATGGTTCAGGAGCACCCCAACAGCTTCACGGGGTGCAGGCGCTCCCCTCTCACCCCATCACACCCCTGCTAACGAGGTTATGCAGATCAAGGCAGGCCAGCAAGGCAGTGCTGGGGGTGGAGGGGACGCCTCATAATCTGTTGGAAATCCAGCTCCTGCTGCAGCATCCAGCTATTACCCACAGCATTCCCACAGCTCAGGGCTGCAGCTCAATTACTGGGGCTTTGTGATTGGGTTTATACCTGTGGCTGGCAGGAGCCTGCAAATAGCTCCATACCTTTTCCTAGGAGCTGCCTCTTCACCTTCCCCCCCTCCCCATTAATTTTTTTTAAAAAAAGTTATAAATAAATATCTCCTCCTTTGCAGGCGTCTGTGAGCAGAGTCTCCATTGCCAGCATGTCAGCCCTTGCACAAAGCTCCCCCAGACATCGCATGGACTGGGGTCCCCAGGGACCCCCTGAAATGTCCCTGGTGCCACTGGGGACTGCCCAAACCCAGCCCCAGGGGTTGGCTCTGCTCTGGCACCCGGTGCAGGTGGAGGACTCGGTCCTTCCTCCCTTTCCTGGGAGTGAGAGGCTGTGGGTGACACAGACAACCCAACACATAAATAAGCGTGACACCGGTGTCACAGTCAAGAAGCCCAAATGGTGAAGGATCTCCCAGATTAACTATGCATGAAATTGGGTAGAGATGGTGGCTTGCCCCATCCTTCACCTCAGAGATTTGTGTGCGGCAGCAGAGTCTCCCACTGGTGATGGGTCAGGAAGATGCAAAATCTTCCCATAGGACTTACTGATTACACCAGGAAGCAGACAGCAATGGAGCCAGCCCCCGGGTCCACCTGGACACCACAGTAAGTCTTCCACAAGGACTGTACCCTCCAGCCCATCAACCTGCTCCTTGGTGCCACCCGGGTACTTTGCAAGGACCCTCCTGTACCCACAGCCCCAAGTATCAAACTGCTCTGCACTATGTACCATGTGAAACGTGCCCAAAGTGGGGTTTGTTCAAAAGACGCTTCAAGTGAATCTTTCCCTCTTTTTTTTTCTCCTGGTGTTCCACATCGGTGACCCTGTGCACAAACCCAATCCCCACCCTGGCAGGTGGCCCTGGATCACTTAGAAGACACGCAAGATTTCCCTGTTTATCAAGGTTGGGTTATTCAAACCCCTCTTATGAAGACATTTCCCAGGGCCTCTTTGGGTACGAAGTGCTCACAACACAGTCAAAAACGCATTGTGCTAGTACCAATATACTTTAGGACTTTAACATAAGTAGCTATATGCATACATAGGACATAGAAAGAGTGTCACCAGTTTTGCCGTAGCAGGTATCGTCCATGATGGCTCCCCATCCAGCCACCCATCAGGAACCTGGCAGTGGAGATGCTTTCCCAGACACATCCTCTGTCCAGTCTCTCCATAATGATGTCTCTGGAAAGAGCCGGAATGCCCTTGGCCAGGCAATGCCTAGATTAGACAAGAATGCCCTGAAATGTTTTCTTAAATAGTTTCGTGCAACCATCTTTGCAATTGCAAGGACAAATTAAGGGTGGTTGTATCTTCCTCATGGGCACAGAGCGGTGGTCTCCAACGCCTGCCAGCCCCCAGGCAGCAAGAGCAGTCAAAGAATACACTATAGGATAGGGTTGGACCATGCTCCTCCCCCACCAGGGGCCACTGCAAGGGTGGCCACCATCATAATGGTAGGCATGGGCAACACCACAGGACTATGGCCCTCCTGCAGGCATCCAGCTTGAGTTTAGAGGACTGTCGTCTCCTTCTCAGTCATTGAAGACATCTTGGAGAAGCTCCTGTGAACAATGCTAGAGTGGCCTGTCTCCTCACTGAGGGCATTCACCAGTCTGGAAAGGATGGTGACCTTAAACTTCTTAAAGTCCTGGCCCATGAAGACGTAGAGGACAGGGTTCATGCAGCTGTTGGAGGCAGCGAGTGCCGTGGTTATGGGGATGCTGATCTCAAACACAGAGCGTGGAATCGTGTCGGGTATTGTTTCCAGCAGGTTCAGAAGGTGGTAAGGACTCCAGCAAAGGAAAAAGGTGACTATAATGCTGACGATGATTTTGAAGGGCTTTTTGGACTTGGCAAGACGGTTTCGACGCAAGTTGAGGACGATTGCAATGTAGCAAAAAGTGATGATGGTTATGGGAAGGATGTACCCAGCGAGAAACCTGGTGACGTTCACTGTTCGGTGCCTCATGAGTGCCAGGGCTTGGTAAGATTTATTCCTGGAGAGGGAAAAGTTGCTAAAACATATCACAGAGTTGCGGGTTTGTGCCGTGTCTCGGAAGACAAGAGATGGGCAGCTCATAATGATGCCAATGGTCCAGATAATCAAGCAAACTAAATACGCCAGGTTGGTCGACCGATGGTTTTGAGACCAGACGGGAAAAACCACTGACACGTAGCGATCAAAGCTGATGGTGGTGAGCAGAAAGACACTGGTGTACATGTTGAGGATGAGGAGGAAGGAGTTCAACTTGCACATGACTGTCCCAAAAATCCAGTTGTACCTCATGGCCGTGTAAGCAATGTTTATGGGCAGGAAGATGTTGAAGAGGAAGTCAGCGACAGCCAGGTTGAGGAACCAGATGGCATTGACCGACTTCTTCATCTTCAGAGTTATGATTGCGATGACGAGGCCATTCCCCAAGATGCCCAACACGCAGGACACACTGTAGATGACAACAGAGAGGATCCTCGCAATGTCCTTTGGGTCATGGGATGGGTCTGTCCACACGCTGCTGGTCTCCTCATAGGCGTAATCCGGGTAGTCACTGTAGTTATCGACATCATCCAAGTAGTTGGACAAATTGGAAAGTGCCATTATCTGTAAACAAACTACAACCTGGTCAGTGCCGGGCTCTCCAGCTGATGATGTTTCTCTGCCTGTTTCTGCTGAGCAAACACATGGTGTTAATTACAGTCAGCACAGCCTGCAGGAGGGACACCAGGCCCTCAATGTGCATGGGCCAAAAGGGCCGTGGAGAGAGGGCATGAAGCTCACAGGTACGGGGGATGTCACTGTACCCAGAGGTCACCAGCTCCACGCTGGGTTTCCAGCCCCCAACCAAGAGGCATCAGCTCCCTGAGCCACAGGACGTGATTCAGTCCCTTGTCTCCACCAGGATGTGGCTGTAGCCTCATCCTGCAAAAAACCTCTATTACCCGCCTACTTCCAGGGGAAAAACTAGGATGATGCTTATTAACAGCTCATTAACAGCTTTGAGACCTTCCAATCTGCAAAATATTATGGCTCTTCCTTTCCCCCCCCCCCCAAGCACCCAGCAAATTGGACTGAAGATCCATCACGCAGAGGACCAGGTGCCCCCCTGATGCCAGGCCTGGTGACACTGGCGTTACAGCCTCTCACCTCTCCTCTCCGAGGCCGTGCCGTGCTCTCGGTGTGACCGGACACCCGGCAGGACGGGGTGGGGGCAGCGATGGTTCAGTGTCCCGGGGCACAAAGGCAGCTCCCTCTGCGCAGATCTAGGGACCGAGCTGTAATATTAAAGCCAAGATCAAACAAAGGCTGTTCACCCTCGGATGTGGGGTGAAAGGAGGAAACAGAGACTCAGCCGCTGTGATTTAACCCTGTGCAGCCTCCCCGACAGGCTGGTGTTGTCCCACACCTCGGGGGGCTGTGCTGGCCTGGGGATCTCCCCACCACGGAGCTGGGAAAGTTGGGGTCCTATCATGATCCCAGCAGCTTTTGGGACAAGCCAGTAAGAAATCCGCTACCATACGCTCGATACAAGCATCCGACACGAGGCAGCATCCCTAGGTACCATGCAAAGAACCCTACAATCAAGTCCACGGCAACATTACTATAAATAATTAAAGCCATAAATATGCGTGAGGTGTCTGGACTCTCATACAGCTATTTCTCTGATTAAATCGGTGCCCTGTGCGTTTTAAAATGTTAATTGTGATAACTAACAGCGTCGTTTGCCGTAATCAGAAGCCGGTCTCCACCATCCATTTAGAGCCCTGCGTTAAATGGGTTCAACCACTCCCCTGTGAACAGTCACGGCGAGTTTAAAGCTAAGAGCCACCAAAGGCAATTAGCAATGCCCAAGGAAGTCATACCAAGAGGGGCAAGATCTGTACAAACCCCAGCATGGGGCATTGCACCCAACCTTGTCCTTGTGGGAAGGACGTGGCCCTGCCCATCCAGGCTGGACCCTCATGTTTCCAAGGAGTTTCAGCTCAAAGGTCCCCCTGAGCATCACCCCTCCGCCCACCAGCCCTGCTTTGAAATCCCTGTGGTGTTTGTGCTGTAACCTATTGTTTCTCCCTGGGCTTTTCCTCCTGTTCCTTCCTGCCATTGCTGCTGCTCCCATTGCTGCAAAGTCCCTGCCTGGGGGTTTAAATCACAGCCCCATCACCTCCCCCTTCACCGAGCTCCAGGAGAGGATAAAAAGCCAGAATAAAGAAGGTTTTAGCGTAAAGCTCGTGAATTAGTTTGAGCTGGAAGGAGGCCTTGCCCCGGCGAAACCTTGATCGTCGAAAGGATGAATTAAAGTTGATGATCCGGTGGAAGTAACAGTATCAGCAGAACTGGCTCTCAGAGCGCTGACTGTTAATGTTCCTGGGTAATGAGCCATCCTGGCCACTGCCTTTACGGACCAGCGCTTTTCCTGTCATCACCTTTCCAAAGGCAAAGCTGCAGAAAGGTCGGGGAGACCAAAGCCCCGTCTACATCCCATCCCAGGCCAGAGAGCCCCAAAGCTCCTGGGACTCACTCTGCCACTGGGGTGAAACCCCTCAAAAATGCCACCTGCCTTCCATTTCCACCCTGGTGTCACCCATGGGGTAACGGAGGGACCTCCAGGGACAGGTCACCACCACGGGGTCAGCCAGACCTTGTGTTCACTGCAGCACCCGTCGGTCCCCTACCTGGGTCAGGCAGGAGGGATTCCTGCAGCTTTACAGGCTCCTCTTCCAATTGTGCCCACCCATATATTTTTAATGTAAAAATCTCTTTATTATTATTTTTTAATGGCTGAGCCCGGCGAGGGCGATGCCATTCAGCTTGACATTTCAGAGCTGTATTTACTGGATTATTTATCTGAATTGTCTGTTTGGTTTTTTTATTTTGCACTCTCCCCCTTTCTTTCTTTTAATTTTTTAACACTTGCCCTTCTCAAGGCAGACAGATGAGGCAGGTGATAGAAAAGAACCCACCCACACCTAAACCTTTGCCAGGTTGGGTGGCCCTGGTGTCCATTTGGGATGAGGACGGCCAGAGAGCAACGGGGGTTTGGCAGATGAGGGGTTTGTTTCCAGGGTTTGTGCAGATCTATCACAAACCCCAAGGCAGGGGACAGGCAGATGCTGAAGCTGCCCTGATCCTCCCGGGACATCTCTGGGCACAGGGAGCTGGAGCCTGGACCCTCTGGAAAACCATCTGGCAAATTCCACCGCAAAACCCTCCCAAAAATGAAGAGTTTGAGGGGTGGGCTGTGGGAAACCTCCCTGCATTTCTCACTGCAAAACCCCCACAAAGTTTGGGGAGAAAAAAAAGCACCACACTACCATAAGTGTGTTTCAGTGCTCCTCTCTGGGCTGAAAAATACCCGGTGTGAGCCAAAACCACTTTGCTCTCTGTTCGGTCTATTCATCTCTGTCCTCCTACCTCAACAAAAATGAGCACAGGATCTACCCAAAATAGCCTTTCAGTCCGAGCAGCCGCCGCCGGCCCCGTCATCCCACAGCTGTATTTGTCTTGGTACCCAGGGAAGGCTGAAGCCCTGCCCGTGGGCGCCGGGGTGGGATTCCCGACGGGCGGCTCATGCATCGGCAGCATCCCGGAGCGCACCGGGGGGGAGGAGGAGGAGGAGGAGGAGGATGAGGTCAGGGATGTTGTTCTTGGGAAGGCAACAGGAAACGGAGAGAACAGCAGAAAATGTTCAAATCCAGCTTTTCTGGGCGAAAGCTCTTCCGCGGGTTGGCCAGGCCAGACGGGTGGAGGGGGGGGACGGACGGATGTGACTGGGGTTACAGGGATGTCAGCAGGATCCGCATGGAGGGGATGTGGCCGTGCCCAGGGAGGGCAGGGGATGCTCAGTCTCCCCGGCAGCGGGTACCGCTGGGGCACGGGTGCTGCCTGAGCATTTACAGAGCCAGGCAGGCTGCCAGCACTGCCTGCTGCCTCCCCCCAATGCCTGAGGGCAATGCTTTTACTGGAGGTACTGATATAGGCTGGAGGAGGGGGGAAAATAAAATAAAATAAAAAATCGAATAAAATCAAATAAAATAAGCAGACCAGCTTTTGAGCACACGAAATCCTGCCTGCACTGTCAAAACCCATCACGCTTTTACCCACACGATGCTACAGAACCAGGCTGGGGCCAGCCTGTGCCTGTGGGGGGGTGTCCCCACAAGCACTCCCCCAGCACTGGGGGAAACTGGGGGTGCCCTTGGGTTAGAGCTTGCTCCCCCACGACCCCCACTTAGCACCTACAAAGTGTCAAAGACGCAAGGGGTGTTGAGGGACGGGACAGATAGACCCCCTTGAGAAGGAGGTGGGTGACCAGGGTGGGCTCTGCTTGCCACTGCCAGCCCCTATGTGTTGCCTGCACCCCTGCCTGCACCCCTGCCTGCACAGCTGCTGCCGCCCCCAGGCAGCTGCTCTGCCTTTTTCTCATTTAACACATTTCCCCTCCTCCCCAGCAGCGGTTTCCGAGGTCCCAGCGCACCCCAAACCCGCTTCCTCCGGCACGTGCAGGGGGAGCGCAGCCCCGCTGCCCACGCAGCCCCGGGAGAGCTGGGGATTGCAGGCAGATGTTTGGGGGAAAACACATGGTGGCTCATCTGAGGAGCTTTGGGAAGGGCACGGGGCAAAGCAGCATCTCGATGTCCCCGTGGACCTCACGCCAGTGGTCCCCGCTCTGAGCCCAGCTGCAGCCCTGGACTGCACCCCACGGCAGATGCTGGTCCCAGTCCTGTGGGGGCTTGTTGCTCTGGTTGAGCTTGAGTCCCACTCCATGGGCCAGACCCTGAGCACAGCAAGAACATACCCTAGGGAAGATGGATGCTCACCCCATCCCAAGCTGGCATCTGAAGCCACCCCATCCATCCCTTGGGCACCCACTTTTTTCCAGTCCAGGGTCACACAGGAGGGACGTCCCCATCCAGCACCCAGTCCCACAGCAGCAGCTCCCAGTCCCACGCAGGGGATTGCCAGCACTCAGGGGGAGCAAGAAAACAAAAAGAAAGGGAAAGCAGCTCTGGGTACCCAGCTCCAATTCACCCTTATTTTAGCCAGCAATTGCCATGGCAACAGCTGCCACAGGGAGAGATGCTGTGCAGCATCCTCATCCCCACAAGGGTGCCCGGGGATGGAGCCCCAGCCTTTGGTGTGAACGGGCCACCAGCCACATGCCCATCAAAAGGGAGCTTAGACCATGCCACTGCAAAACCTTGAGCCCTGGTGTGCCCAAAAGCTGCTCCCTGGTCACCGTCCCAGCACTGCCACCCATCCCCAAACCCTCTGTCCAGCTCCAGCCAGCTGAGAAGGTGACAGTGATGCTGGATGCCACAGGAGAGGCAGCAACATGCTCAGCATCCACAACAGCCTGACACCAAGGATTTAGGTTGGCAGCTCCCCCAAGCCACCGGTGGCAGGGGACCCCCCAAAGCAGGAGGAGGGGGTAAAGCCAGCCCCCATGGGAAACTGAGGCACCGAGCTCTGCCCCAGGGCTGCTGCAGGACGGCGGGGAAGCCTGAGCCCTACCTGCATCCACGGCACTCGGACACATCCCTGCTTCTCCACCACGGAGCGGTCCTCACTCCGCCAGGACCCCCGTGGCTGGCAGCATTGGGCACCCCCAGCTGCTCCCCACACACCAGCTGAGGCTTCGTCCCCCGCCCGTGTGAACAGGAAAAAAAAAAAAAGGGACTAGCTGGAAAAGGCAGCCTTTAAAAAAGCCAACTGTGCCCAGGGTGGGACAGAATAACAGCATGAGTCAGTGTTTATCTGGGCAGAGCCAGCCAGGCTGTGCGGGTCCGGACGGGTCGGGATGGGATGGGTCTCCACGACCTGCCCCTGGCCACAGCGTGGGGTCACCCCAATGGAAAACGCACCCCAAATCGGCCAGAAATTGGCGTTTAACCTCAAAATGCAAGGCTCTTCCCCGGGCAAAACTCCTGCAGGAGCCTGGTAAGGGAACCTGTCCTTCCCTGGCACAAAGTGCCCGGGTTGTTAAGAGCCGCCCCATTAGTAAGAGCCTGGCCCAGCCCTTTGCTCCCCGTCCTTTCTGTTCTTGTATTAAAGGGGAAAATCTTGGGCGTTTGTACCTCCACAGGCAAAGATTTTCTTTAAAAAGGGCAGTTTGTGTTTCTCTGCTGCTTAAAATGACTCGAGCTGCTTCTGAGATAATAAGACTACTTTCATCTCCTCTTCTCTTTTTTTTTTTCCTTTTTATATATAGAGGTTGCTATTAATCCTAGTCTTTCCTGGCACTTTGCAGGCAATAAAAAGACCAATAAAACTCCCTTTTTCTGAGCATCCTCCCTGCTGCATCACACCAGCCCGAGTGGGTGGAATAGGGCATGAAACACTGCGATCCCAAGGGATTTAGGACTCTAGGACCTGCCTCAGCCCAGAGACGATGTCCCTAATCACAACCCGAGTTTTATCACAGCTTTTTGGGGACAAAGCCTTGGGGACACCATTTAGAGGCGAAAGCTCGCGTGCCACCTGCGGGGCTGCTCTCAACTGCTGGGGATTTCGAGGGTAGGAAGAGGAAGGAAACCAAGAAAAAGGAAACTGCTCTGTCCCTTCTGCTGCCGGAGGGGACGGACGTGACCGTGCTGGGGATGGGGGAAGGTCAGGGTTGGCAGAATATCAGCCCCCCCCCGATTTCAAGTAAGAAAGTCACCCCAGATCCACAGGAGCATCCTCCAGCCCCCAGCTCGCAGCTGTGTGTCTCGTTCCCCAGCTGCATGCTGATCAGGGTGGTGAAGAAAAGCCCCCCTGTTCTCCCCGTTCCCACCGAGGTGACAGTGCCACCCTGTAAGAACAGCCCCCCCGGTCCACCTCCTCTCCTTAAATTCACACTCAAGTTCCTCTCCCCGCAGCTTTCCCACACCCAAAGCCACGGCAGGGGTTCCATCTCCCCAAAAAGCTGGGGATTTTATGGAAAATTAGAAAAAAAAATAGGGGGGTTGGGTGGGGGACGGTGACCTCCGGGGTCCCAACGCGCACTGCCAACTTTATAACCAACTTTATAACAACAGGGGAGCAAAAAAAAAAACCTCAACCAGTTGCAAATCCCTTGAGCAAAGCAGTGATTTTCAGCCCGTCCGAGCAAAACCAGCCCTCCCAAATATTCCCTTGAGCAAAGCAGTGATTTTCAGCCCGCCCGAGCAAAACCAGCCCTCCCAAATACACATAATAAAAAAATATATATATAAAACCAGAGGTATTTACCTGAATTTAATAAATCTCCGCGCGTTTTGGGTGCACGGAGGTGGGATGATATATTAAAAAAAAAAATATATATATATAAAGCCAGAGGTATTTACCTGAACTTAATAAATCTCCGTGTGTTTTGGGTGCACGGAGGTGGGATCGCCCGTCTCTGCTCCTTCTATAACCTCGTTAGGGCTTGCATGCAAACGACCCCCAGCTTAAGTGGCTTCGGAGGGTGCCGTGGGTCTCGTTGAGCCTTCTCATGCTGCGAAGGACAGGCACGTATTGCCGATGGGAGGATGAGGAGGAAAGGAAAAAAAAAACAAACCCAAAGAAAAAACACCACCCCAGCAGCCGGTGGCATAAACCAGCTGCCGGGCTCGGTGCGGAGATGGGCAGCGTCTGGGAAGGGGGAAGCGATGCTCGGCAGCAGGATGTGGGGACTCGGGACTGTGGGTAGAGGCTCTTTCTCGCACGATTCAGCTGGACACAGAAAGGGGATGAGGCAGCTGCCTGCCCTCGGTGCTGGGTCCCATCCACCACGGCTCCTGCGCTGACCACAGTTGGCTCAGGAGTCCCACGGGATCACCAGGGAAGGGTCTGGGCATCCCTCACCAGTGGAAAAAAAACTGTGGTCTTGTTGGTTTTGGCAAAGGGTGAGCACAGCTGAAGGGTCCCTGTGATTTGGGATGGAGTATCTCCACCCCAGGTTGCCCCACATCCCTGTCCCGCTGCCCGGGATGCCCCTGACCTCACACACGCAGAAGAGGACTAACCCAAAGCCATCCCTGGAGTGCACGGCAGAAGGGGAGCGTGTCCCCCATTCAGCATGTTCACCAAGTCCTGCCTCTTCATAGAATCATAGAATGGTTAGAGTTGGAAGGGACCTTAAAGATCATCTAGTTCCAAACCCCTGTCCTGGGCAAGGACATCTCCCACCAGCCCAGGTTGCTCCAAGCCCCCTCCAACCTGGCCTTGAACCCCTCCAGGGATGGGGCAGCCACAGCTTCTCTGGGCAACCTGTCCCAGTGTCTCACCACCCTCACAGCAAAGAATTTCTTCCTAATATCTCATCTAAATCTCCCGTCTCCCAACTAAAAACTGTCATCCCTTGTCCTGTCACTACACTTACCACAAAGAGTGCCTCCCCAGCTCTCTTGTAGGGAGATTGTCCCGTTACCCCTTGTCCTGTCACTGCACTTCCCACAAAGAGTCCTTCCCCAGCTCTCCCGTAGGGAGATTTGTCCTGGGCCCCACACACCAAGGTGGGTCTGGATCCAGCAGCGAGTTCCCAGTGATGTATGAGCCCATCCTGGGGCACTGGGACCCCGAGCAGAGGGGCAGCAGCCAAGCACCAGCCCGTCCCCAGCCCTCTGCCTGCAGCAAACATGGTGGATCCATCGATCTTGTACAAACCTGAGCCCAGACAGCCACAAACCTCTGCCCAGAGCCCAGGAAAACCCATCCATGGGGAGGTGCACACTAAAAATACACACACATGTGGTGGCTGGACTAAAACCCCACATCTCACACCTGCACCAGGAGCATCACGGGGATGGCAGAGCCCCCACCCACCCGTCATCACCAAAACCGACACATTTTTCCGGTTCTTGGCTTCAGCTCTGCCTGAGGGAGAAATCCCAGTTTCCTCAGAACCTCAGAAAACCTCCACCCAACTGTGAACCCAGGAGCGATGCCTCAGGGAACTTGTGGCCACCGTCGTGCCCCGTGCAGGTGGGGACAGTAACCCCCACCAACCTCGCACGTGGCCCAGCTCCCACAGGAGCTGAAAAAAAGAGGAATTGGAGCCCGGGCCGATGCCCGCCTTTGCACAACACCGCGTTGCAACATCCCCCACGGCTGAATCAGGAGGAAACTTGCTGATGTGCCCGGATCGACGTCTCCGACCCGGAGAAAGGAGAAGACACTCAAAAAGGCCAAACATCTGCACCAGGCAGGGATGTGCCAACCCGGGGTGGCTCGTGACCAACACGCTGGTGTCCCCACTCCTAAGGGTTTGGGAACCCCCGGGATGGGGGCAGCAGCTCCATGGGGTGCTGGGTGCCAGTGGTGATGCTGAGTACACCATACTTGTGACATTTCTGGCAGGTCCCCAGCGGGTGCAACCCAGGCGAGGCGGCGTCCCCACGATAGCCATAAATGCAGTTTACTCCCAAAAGCAACAAAACCCATGAGAAACATGGCCCCGGGTTGCACGGGGCAGGTTGGACAGGCTGGCTCTGCCCCATCACTCCGCCAGCGGGACCCACGCTGCCCTGTCCCCCAGCAACACAGAATCACAGAATCTTCTAGGTTGGAAGGGACCTTAAAGATCATCTTGTCCAACCGTCAACCCAACTTTGACAAAAATAGACACCTGCACAACAAACAAGGAGCATCATCACTAAACCAGACCTCCCAGCACTACATCAACCCGTCTTTTGAACACCTCCAGGGATGGTGCCTCAACCCCCTCCCTGGGCAGCCCATTCCAATGGCTGAGAACCCTTTCAGTGAAAAAATTTTTCCTAATATCCAGCCTGAACCTCCCCTGGCGCAACACACCCCAGTCCTCCCAGTATCCCCGTCTTGTGCCTTCCAGTGACTTTTCCGAATACCTCACGCGGTGCCACGCTCTCCCGCTGCTCCCCACCGGGGGAGGATGAGATGGGGGTGACAGGGCCAGCCGGTGAGGAAGAGGAGGTGCTCAGCCCAGCGCCGAAGGCTCAGCGGGAGGCAGCGGGCTCTCATCCCCGTGCAGCCCCCGGTGCAGCAGGACCAGGCGCAGGCACAGCGCCGCTCCCCGCCGGTTTTAAGGGCGAAGGGAGGGGGGAAGGAGTGGCAGCAGCATCATCCATGGCCGGGGTTTTCTTGGCAGCACGATGCTCGGCGAGCAACAGCTGGGAGAGGGTGTGACGCCGGGAGCTGGGAACGCTGGCCGGGATCCTGCCGCGACCCAGCACGAGGAAGCAACAAACCACTTCCCAAGGGGCCTCCTTTCCTGTTCCCGTCCCCCCCACCGCCGCCCTGACGGCATCAGAGGGCTCCGGAGTGATGCTGGCCCCAGTTGGGGAACCCAAAGGGGAGGCAGGTGGCCACCAGCCACCCCGCGGTGCTGTCCCCACCCCGGGTCACCCGCTGTCCTCCGCCGCCCTCCCCACCGCCCCCAACTCCTTCCAAGACGTTGAGTCACTTCCCTTCGTCCAATCTGGCTCCCAAACGCCGCTGCTGCCGCTCGGGGGCTGGTTTCCCCGATGGCTTTCATTACCACCAGGATGCAGCAGCTGCTTCCAGGCAGCACCCCCAGCCTGCGCAGCCCGCGGGGGGCTCTGCGGCAGCAGCTCCATCATCCCCCCCACCCCCCAAGCCCTTTTAACACGGGCAAAAAAGTCTTTTGGAGGGTACAGGGGGTGCTGTGAGAGGCATCAGGTTCTCCCAGGAAAGAGGGATGGACAAGGCTGGATGCAGCTCCATCATCCCCCCACCCCCCAAGCCCTTTTAACACGGGCAAAAAAGTCTTTTGGAGGGTACAGGGGGTGCTGTGAGAGGCATCAGGTTCTCCCAGGAAAAAGGGATGGACAAGGCTGGATGCAGGGATGGGGTTCAGGGGGAGCCTGGCCACAAACAGGGAGGAAATGGGGAGGTTTTCCGGGGTGGCCCCCACTTTGGGAGCACTGAGCAGCACAGCCCCCCCCAACCCACGCAGAGCAGGAGGTTTGGATAACCCTGCTCTTGATGTGGGCACTGAGAAAATCCCTTCCCTCCCCACGCAGCCCCCACGCTCCTCAGCTGCAGCTTTTAACCCAACCTGGAGAAGAGCCAGCACAGGGTTTGGGTCCCTGAGCATCGCCTTGGAAGCAGGAGGAGGTTTCTGGGGTGATGCCCCCATTTCATCCCCCTCCTGCCAGCAGGACACAGCCTGGGGAAGGAGCAGGATTTACCCCACGGGGACACACCAGCACTGGTGTTGCCCAAGGTTTGCCACCAGGCAGTTCACCCATCTCCCTAGCAGCAAGGATGTTCATACATTAAGGATAATTAATTACAGTTAATTAATTATCCTCAGCTGTAAAGACAACCCACAAAGCATCCTGAGGACCAAGCCAGCATGGAGGGGAAAAATAACCACAGCTAATGTTATCTCCTTCAGTGTGCTTGGGGTGAAATAGTGTGACTGCAGCCCAGCTCCTGGATGAGGCCCGAAAAGATGCATGGCCCAGGCGGTGCTGGGTGGCACGGATGGGACAGGCAGCAGGGCAGGAGCTGGGGGCTTCCAAAAACCACCCTGGGGCATGGCAGGGCTGGGGATACTCTGCCACGGATGGTCTTGCCAAGTGCTGACCCCAGGGCACAACACCACAGTGACAGACAGCACCCAGGGGTCCTGAGCCAAGACCCGGCACAGCCCCAGTTTCCCCAGCAAGGCTGAGCTTTGCAGACCCCACAGCACTGGGATGGGAGCCGAGCCATGCTCCTGGGCAGAATCAGTCCATCCCTTTCCCAGGCACCTGCCACTTCCACTGGGCAAAGCAGGACCCAGGACCCCGCTCACGGGCACTTACCCCCGTGCTTAGCAAGATGGTGAAGTTAAAAACACGCTGACTTGGGATAAAACGTCCTATATCCAGGGTTTGCTCTGCCCTGCGGTTTGGGGTTTCCCTCCGAGGCGCTCAGCACCGTTTGCTCAGCAAACCACTGCAAAGAGCAGGACAAAACACCCCGTTCCTGGGGGTGGTGACCGTGCAGAAACACCACAGAGAACAGCTTGGTGCATGGGCAGGGGGTGGCAGAGTGTTTGGCATCCAGCACCTCCCCAGCAAGCACACCGAGTTCCACCCACATCAAGCAAAGCAATTATAGCTCTGAATTCAGTGTATCATGAACTGATTGATTTGGGTTTATTATAACCCCCTCCCGAGTGCCTTCCTGCTGAGCCAGGGTGAAAGGATGGAGCCCAGAAGGTCCAGCCCTGCCCGTACGGGTGTTTGCCCTCCTCTCCTCTCCGGGTGGTGGGAACCCGCCTGACTCATCCTGGAGCAGATGTCACACTTAATGTGGAAGAAATCACATAAAGCCTTTCCCTCTCCAGGGGAGCTTTTCTCCATCCTTCAGCAGCGCTTTCCCTTGCCCCGGGCAGAGCTGCAGGGAAAAAACCCACGCGAAAGGGCTGGGAATGGAGCTGGGTTCAGCTGCAAGGACACGACACGGAGCTCCCCCTGCATTTCCCAGCCCCAATCCCTGCCCCGGTTCAGGGCTGGGTTTATCCCTATGGATAAGTATCCCCCTGCCTTTCCCACGGGTGGGCTGTGGGGAGCTCATCCCTCCTGCTCTCAGCTTCGTCACCCACCGCGGTAACGAGCTCCGTATCCCATTACCGCCCCGCCATCCGAGTGGAAACGAGAACTCATTGCACAAATTAAAAGCCCACATACAGGATGTCAAAGAGACTGCTCGCTTTCCCCATTTCGCTGATTTGAAACAATCACAGAATAAAAAAAAAACCACAAAAAACAACAAACCAGTCCCAACCTTGTGCAACTTCAGGCTTATAAATAGCGAGGCGGCACGGGAACCCAGCAGGACTCCACACAGCCATGTCTGCACTGGGATGATGCTGCCGAAACCCACT